AGATAATTTTATCTAGACTTTCTCATACCCAGATTTCTTAATTGTTAATAAAGTTAAAGTGACTCCTGTATGATTAGTGTCATGAATACCCTGAAAGCACTTCTGGAAGCTGCTAAGATTTAAGGATCATTTCCCTCCTAGAGAATGTTCAGGAACTGTTTGCACTCATCTGGATATTGACGAAACCCCGCTGAGTTCTGAGGTCAGTTTGCTTAAAGATGCACATGGAAACAGAGATAGAATCCATGGTGAGGTCCAAGAGAACCAAATTAAGTCATCGATTAATGTCATCATGTCCAGCCACTCCTTCACCCTCTGTATCTACTTAAGAAAATAATTGTATTCAGCTTGTCACAAATTTTATTTTATATTTCCACCTAGTACCATTTCACATTCTGCTTAAGTACTTGGTCATCTATTACATGACTCATTAGTTTGAGTTCTCTGTAGAATTAAAGAAAGTTGCAGTAAAAATAATAAATGGAACCTAAGTTTCAACTACATCATCCATGCATGTTTTAAAAGCATCTTTCAAAGTCAATTCAAACTTATATACAATGCCAGGGATTAGCATGCCATCAGCCTCTTTGCTAAACTTTTTCCCTTGCCCCATTACACTGAAGTATTGATGAGCAAAATGGCAAATGTTTCTCTTTATTGGGATTCAACTCAAAGTGCATAAAACTGGATCAGATAAAGACTTATTCCCAGGAGAAGTACCCAGGGGCTATCTTATATGAAATTCTATTCAGGGAGACTTTCATTTTTCCTTTAAATAAAATTTGTAGTTACCAGGTGTAATCAAGAAATTTAATAAAGTTAAGGTTTCCTGCCTCCATCCCTAAAGAACAAGTTGGTGAAGTTCTTAACTGCAGAATCTTCCAAAGAGATGTAACAAGGTTTCCTGAAGATTTACCTGAATAATTACTTTTATAGGGTATGTAAATGCTGTGTGGTGCACTATGAGTGCAACACTAGGCCAGAAAAAAACCCAGAGAAATAGTTTTAATAGGAAAAGGAAACTAGACTAAAAGTCATTTATCTTGCAAATAAAAACATCTTATTCCTTTTGACTATGTATGTGTCATTAGGTTAAGAAGCATCTTCCAATATTTCCTACCCTCCCAGGGAAGCCAGAAGAGATCATGAATTTTAGCTGGAAGACAGGCAGTGAGATATAGTGGAGGCATCACAGGCTTCTTTTTTTCCATCATGGTTTTGAATTCCAGTGTTATCTGTAAACTGTGAACTTAGGCAAATTTCTTAACCTATCCGAGTCTCTGTTTCCTTATCTATAACACTGGGGGTAATGTGATTTACCCTGTACATCATTGTGAAAGACTAGAAATTGTAAAATACATGGCACAATCTAAGTTATAGTTATGGCTATTTCAATGCATTAGAGATGGGAGGGAGATCATCCCACACCCTCAAGCTTACAGTTGAGGCATCTCAGCACCCAGTGTTTAAATGACTAGTCCAGTGTAACAGAACTAGTCAACGGCATCATTAGGTCTATTTTAGTGTTCAGGGAAATGAAACCACAGCGAGGCCCAGTGACTTACACAGGGTCATCCAGAGAAACACTGGCATTACATGGATTGAACAAGAAAGTGTAGCTTCCCTAACCTGGCATTTGTCACAGTTTGCTGCCATTTCTCGGAAAAAAAAAAAATTCCCATGGCTTGTGACCTTTTACCTTTTGCTGACTGGTTTTTAATCCCATTTCATAATTTATTCCGACGTTAGGACGAATGATCTCAAAAGCAAATTTCATTTCATCCTATTTTTAGAATAGATTCAGAAAATAAATGAACTGTCTTGCAGATTAACATTTATTTGACTTACCTTGCATAATTAAGGACATGTTGGAGAGCCTGCCTATAATTGCAATATGTTGCTTGTTAAAGTCTTAGAGCAAGCTCTCTTTCCTAACCTAGAAATTGTACTCCCTAGATGTACATTTCCATTTTCTACTGATCTACAGCTTTTCTTTATTAGCTTCTAGGTAGAGAGAAAAAATCAAACTTCTCCTTAAAGAAATCCATTAAACATTTGCTGTCTTCTATGGGGGAAGGAAGAAGGAGCTGAGGTGCATGGTAGTTATAAAGAAAAAAACAAACAAATTGGTCTTTCTTGAGAGATAAAGAACCTGCAGGAGAACCTCAAAGACATCATTAGCAATTAGCAATACTCTCCCCTCAATTTGCACACTGTGCTTTAATGACTTCTTGCATGATTTTTCCTTCTTCTACAGAAGTCTATGAAATTGCCCTGCAGCATTCCATATAATGAGAATCTCACTTCTGATTCACTGCCAGTGGTGAGTGCTGTCTATATTCAGCAAGGAGATAGGTGCCCCAGCTAGGCATCTAAGTGTCCCGACCAGCAATTTCAAGAGCAACTGATGTCTGGACACAGGTTCTGCCATCTGAGTGATTTTGCAGATCTCTAACAGGGTCTTCAGATACTGTTAACACGGCTGAAGAAGACATGGTGGATACTTAGTGTGAGCCACACAGTCCCCTCCTTTCAATATCCTCATTCACTCACTGGCCCAGAGCAGATGTTGTCAACATCAGCTTCAGTATGTTAGGTGAAAGCTGTCTCCGATGGATTAGACATTTAGCTCTCTGAAGCCTGAGCCAGATGTTCTTAGGGCCACTGCCCGCTTTGGGATGAATAAAGTGTACTGGATTATTATAAAGGGCACTCTTGGATAGAAAGACAAGTAAATCAAGCCAAAGAAAAATGTACTACTAGCTACAAGAAGAAGAAAAACTTAGTTTAATATTATCTTTAATAGATATATAAATTTTGGCACTCTCATTACTGATGCTTTAAGAGTTCATGTAAATCTTGTTCATCAGGACTCTATTATTGCTGCTTTCCAAGCAAAGAAAAAAAAAACCCTGCAGTGAACCAATTATTTGTTCTATTTGAAAAAGCTGAGATATTCATCCTTTATGTGGCAGGTTGAATGTGGTAGGTGAGATGAGTGGTTTTTATTCAAGCAGCAACTCAGGAGGATGTCAATTTCAGGCACAATACAAGCTTGATTCCTCCCTGTTTCTTATGCAGAAATCCTTATAATATCTGCATGAGTTTTAAATCTGTGTAAAAGGTGGGACCCAGCCTGATATATTTCCTTGAAAGATGAGCTGATTATATGTTGCACCTGAGTTATGCATTCACTCATCAAGTATTTATTGTGGACCTACTATGTGTAAGGAATGAGAGCTGGCACAAGAGAAGAAAGAAATATTTTAAAAACACTTTACCATGATATTTGGGTGGGGGGGCTTATATTCCCTTTGAGAAAAAAAGGCCACATTCTTAAAGCACAACTGAAATTCCTTTTAGGAATATTTGGTATAGATAAGAGCTACCTAAGTGATCAATTACACGACGAGCACATATGTGGATCCCACACTGTATAAGACATTGCTGAGGAAGTGGGGAAGATGCAAAAAAAAAAAAAAAAA